GAACCCTACCTTTGAGTATAACTTTGGCCAGAGGGTGCTAAAAAGCAATTCCCTTTCAGGTGGGCACTCTTCTTCAGAGGCGCCCCTGTTATACTCGAAAAAAGTCAAAAACAGTGCAATGAGGACAAGACCCAAACAGTGAATCCTACTGTTTCCAATTAAAAACAACTACTTCCGATTTCTTAAAGGAAATGAAACCTCATAAAATGCAAGTAAACAACTGTTTCACCAATTGGATAAATTATAAAAACAGGGCAACAACTAATTCTCCAATTAATTGTTTGTAGAAAAAAGACTTTTTTATTTGGGAGGTTGTTTGTGCACTATTATGAATTTTGAGTCTGAGATTTTTTTTAGTTCATCAGCACAGATGATATAACGAAAAAAACTCTTTTTTTAATACCATATAAGTTATATATGAATTTAAAGATAGCAACATCTTTTTATTATCTTTATACTTGCATACTTCATTTATCTTCTGATGAGGTGGTATAAAGTTTTTCTAACACTTCTTTCCGGTACGAACCATTAAAAGTTTTAGAAAGCCTCTTTTCAGAAATCTTTTATGAAGATTTTTAGTGAAAAGCCAAAAATCCTTAAAAAAACGAACTTAAGACTTTATTCCTGCGAGTTACAGTCGCAATAAGGTGGTACCAGGAGGATATGCACTGTTAAAAGTTTAAATAAAGCTATAAGTTGAGTTCCTTTTCATGCGGAATTTCCCATAGGAATCCAGTTTACTTTGGTATAAGATATTATTAAATAGATATTATGTAACAAAACAGGAATCGCTTCATAGTATGTACAAAATAAATTTTTATGGTCTGGAGAGCCTCTTAGAAGAAGTCTACAGAGATTCATAAATTTTCTATTAGAATAGTTGTATAACGCGCTTCTAAATTTAGTGAATATATAATGGTCATTACTTTCAATAAAGGTAAAAGGTTAGCAGAATTCTTTATAAAGGATAATATTTTTAGAAATTAATGGTCACAATTTAAAAATCAACTTTAAATGCTTCTTGTGTAGCTACTCCGCCCTTATATGCAAAGATTATATATATATAAGGATATTAATGATAAAATTTTGCAAAGAGTTTGCTTTAGCCTAACGAATAGGAAATCCAATTATTATAACGGGGTCTTTTACAGGCCGCCCCAGAATAGTACTGAAATCTTTTTTTTAAACAAAAATTAAATTGTAGCAATTAAATGTTTTAGACCAATCAGAAATCTTACTATAAATTTAATTGCACCCGACCTGCTAAAATAAGATGATGACTTTTACATTAAGGACCCCGTTTCCTACATGCCTCCATTGCATGTTGCGTTTCAAGCAGATCGAGTAGTGTAATGCCAATATTAAGACCCTCCCTTCTTCTTAGCCTTCTTCTTTTCAGAAATAATATTATGTCCATAATAAATTAATGAGAGGCAAAGTACCCTACTTAAGTGGATGTGATCCCCTTTTAAACTGCCCAGGTAAGTTTTTAATTTTACTATAGGAATTAATTTTATCACCCACTAAGTTATGAAAGCGCAATTTATATTTCTTTACGGTAGAAGATCTTAAACTAAAGTTACAGGCATTTCTGGAAAAAAAATAAATTGACTTTATGAAGTATATTTTCTTGTGAACGAAAATTCTTATCATTAAAATTACTTCATCTTTAGCTTTAAAAATTTCGGTCTAAAAATCCAATTTTAGGCGCTTAAAAGCTTGAAGATTAACATAAAGATTAATTTTGCTTATAAGCTCTAATTCGTCTGTAGAGTTCAAACATTTTTTATTACCATAGCTTTGAAGAAAAAAAACCATTAACTTCTTTTTAAACAAAGTTATTAACAAGCAAAAACAACTTATATATATATATATATTTCTTAATTCTTTGTTGTCCAACATCAATAACCAAATTTTCAGCTGTTAGAATTTGAAAAGGTTTATTAACTTCAGTCACAATTTTTTTTATTCAACAAAACGATGGAATAAATTTTTAATTTACTAACAAGGAGCGAGACCATTTTCTTGCATACATAAAAAATTTCCATGCAACCTAGCTTCGTAAAAGTTGTCGCTACCACGCAAGGAGACAACTCTGTAAAATGTTGATAAGTTTATTATCTACTCCCACTATTTCAGGACAGTTTCTGATCTCTTTTTAGGAGATATTAAAGTCATATTAACCCGTACTAACACCTCCCGTTCTTCAACTAAATATTGGCGTCAATATTCAATACATAGCTGTATTTATATTTACCATATCCTTTAAGATAACGCCATCTGGCACTTCATCCTCAGAGACTTTTTTTCTCTAATTTCAGTAAACGATAAAAGTATAACTTTTTTAAGTGACTTTGAATTGATAAGTATTCGTAGGGAAGAAAAAAAAAACCAACACAAACACGTTCAAGTGTTCTTGAAAAAGTTTTATAACTAACAAATTTTGGTTTGATTGCAGCTGCTCTTACCTTCAAAGGCGTTCAGACATGGTAACAATAGCTATACTTTCACTTTTAATAGCGTAAATATTTAAAAATGTTTACTAACCCTGGTAGATAAACTTAACGTGTATGTCAGCAGAAAACAGAAGGAAATCAATAAAACTTTTCTCATTTTTAAAAAAAATGTAGTAAGAAAGTTGCACAAGTTTAAAAACTAATGACTTAGTGGAAGTTGCAATACTTACTAGACATGCAATCTCTCCTCAACCCTAACAACTTCCACGCTTTACTCGTTGCAACGCTGAACAAAAATGTTTTCGTATAACATCGCAATAACACGTAGACGAAGCTCTACGGAAGCTAAGCGAGAAAAAAAAAAGTACTATAAATTTAGCTATTAATAATTTTATTTTAATTAAAAAGTGGCAAATCCTACCCTAGCTTGAGGCAAAAAAGACTCTATATTATAAAATCTTTTAAGGAAGATTTTGCGTCCAGGTGAATCCTTTTACATATTTTGGTTGGTATTTCTTTTAGTAGCAGTCTAAATTATTGAATTAATTGCCTTTAACTTATTTTTTTTTAGCTCTTCAAGTATTTTAGTACTCTTTTCTTTTTGACTTTTATTTTTACTTCCTTCAGTTATTGAATGTATTTTGAGGCTCTTATATTTATGTTTTCATAGGATCTTTTATAACTAAATGGTTTGTCGTACAAAATCTATTTTTTGCAAGTGTAATAAATTCCAAAAAATATGGAAACGTTTTCTAATTTTTAATATTTGTTAAAATTTAGTTTTGTTTGTATATTTATGACCCTAGGAAAAATAAGGCTTATTATAACATCTAATTTTTTTCTGTTCAAAAATACATAGTAAAACATAAAAACTTTTTAGTTTCCTTAAATTTACTATAAACAATTATATAAAGAAGACTTACGCTAAACCTTAAAGGGGTTCAAGTAAAAAAAATTCTAGGTGGTAGGTAGCTTACAATATAAAATTGTTTCGTAGTGTAATACACCTTAAGTTCTAGGAAATAAAGATCCTTTAAAACCTAAAGAAGAAAAATACACCGAAGTTACACTAATCAGATTTTATAAATCTTATAACTAAGATTATACGAATTACTTTATTCAAACTTACATTTTAAAAAAATTTAAAAAAGATATAAAATAAACTATAATATCTGTATATAAAAATAAGATACATTACAGAAGTTTGCTTTATAGTTATATTTAATAACAGCTTTATTTAGTAAAAATAATGTTTAATTACTTTTACTTTCAGAGTGTAATTGTAAAAATAGAATGTAATCTTTTCGTATATAAATTGAATTATAGACTTCTGCTAATGACAGTTTTTGTAAAACATTCAAACTTTCATAACGCCTACCACAGCTAATTCTAACCCTAGGAAGACCTGAAAAAAAAAACCCCTGATATACCAAACGCATGTAATGTATTTTAATAATAATTTGGAAAAATTATTATTTAATTCATAAAAGTTTTTTATTAGTACAATAATAAAAACAAAAAGTAGGAAAAAAATATCTATAAAAAGTGTAATAATAATAAAAACTAAGGAGAGTATTATAGTAACACCAAGCAGTCGTTCTCTACGAGTGGTCACAATTTCGCGTTCACTGTCTGTTCGCTTCGATAGGAGTAATCTACCCTCAATATTTGCTCTAGAAAACCCTAACCCCTGCAAAACGGCAGAAGTGAATGGCTTATTAAACTTCTTGTTAAGGCATACTATAGACTTGTAATCAATCTCTACTTAATAACCAAGCAGGAAGAGAAAAAAAGGTTTAGGTTATCTAACATGGTATACCCCCCCTTCCTCCCTTTCTCTCTCTCTCCCCCCTTCTCAAAACCCCTCGCTTTTTTTTTGGCTGTATTTTTGATGCAAGATAATTCATTAATAGTATTATTTAAATTGTTAATAAAAAGACGAAGAAACTAACTTTTAATTTACCTGTTAATAAATATTTAAAATTAGCTGGAAAATATAAATAAAATTATTAGCGCATACCCGCAGTGCCGTAGTCCTTGAGTTAATGAATCGTTAGTTTTTGCTGTTTTTCTTTCTCTCTGTCCTGTTTACTTAAAAGAAGCAATAGAGTGAATAACTTCAGTACTTATTCATCTAAATGTTAACGGTAGGGAAACGGAAGTAAAAATCGGGAATGAAAATAATAAAAAACCATTCCGCTACAAGTGACAGAGTCTGTTCGTATGTATCATTTTTCCTTTATTAACCTCTAATGAATCATTTTCTATTAAACCACTCACCTACACACATTATATTGATTACATTGTTAATAATATGTGAGCAAGGTGTATACTGCCTAGTTGTATGGCAGAGTACGGTAGATAGTAATAAACACTATAAAAGTACCGCGCTAAAAAATCCGATAAACGAAGATGAGGTCACATGCTACTAGCACAAACCATGTATGACAACTAGATATATTATATTAAGGCCTGGGAATTTTCGCACAGATGTTGGCCTCTGTTCCCACCATCAAGATGGCCATCGCGATCAAGTTGTGTTCTACTGGACTTTTTTTTTTAATCACTGCATTAATACATTTAATAGCCCCCCATTATTGAAGGGACTGGTTTAGATCGAAGTTTTTTAACAGACTTAAGGAAAAGAAAGTTACTGCTCCCTTTGGAGAGGTACTGTACTGACTATTATAATATTTTTGTTCTTTTTGACATGGTAATAACTTACCCTAATAATGATAGTTATTTTTTATACCTTCTTTGTTCTTCACTTGTTACCTTCTTTTTTAATCTATAGCCTTCTGATGACCTAAAAGTAAGCGCCATCGCAGGTGGGTGTCGACTATGTGTTACTTGCTAGCCATGAACGATCTCATTTCATACAACCAACTAATATAAACTTTAGGGTCAATTAAATGGGCTTTAAACTATTATCTAACTACCTCGAAAGTTCAAGAGCCCTTTTATTAACATTATATTCAGTGAAATTTCTATTTTAAAAATTTTTTAAAGGTCACACGATTAATTTTGGCCTCTACGACCTGTTGAATCTCTAAGCCAGGAAATTGAACCCGGACACTCTGTGTTTCTTGATCAGGCCATTGGTCGGAAGACTAAGAGAGCTAGGTCATCGTTTATCTCTCTTATTTATTTTATGAAAGTAGCAACCTTTACATTATTATCTTTAAAAATATTATTCTACCGTACTTCTCTCTTTCCACTAAATGTTGATATTCAGGCGCCTTTTTTTACTCTTCTCTTTATAAGGTACAAACGTTCTATGACGGAGTGGTTGGTCATCCGAGTGGAATTTGCCATCTTCCTCTTGTAATTCCCTTTATTGAAAAACTGCGAGATGCCTTTAAAGAAAACACCTCATTCTTGGGTATTCCTCATCACACAAAATGTTGTTTGCCGCTAAAACAGTGCTGACCATAGGAGAGCCTCATCATTTCTGTAGGGACCGTAGTCCCTATTGAGGGCCCGTGGTTGAGCAACAGGGCCGAAAGCCTTATGTATTGCTCGTGGGAAGGTGACGTTATCAACCTGAGTACGTTTTCCTAAGTGATTCTGGTTAACGAGGCTGGTGGGTCTTGGGTAAAATTCTCGTTGGGCGTACACTTATATGCGTCTTTTTGTTTGAAAGGTTTACTCCACGCGTCGGTTGCCTTAGCTACAGATTACCACTGCTGGCGTAGTGAAGAAAAACACGTACGTTTTTGCGCTGTAGGCAAGATTTCGTATCATATTAAAACTTTTTCTTGGCTAATTTTCAGTGTCGGTGTAAATAAGTGGTCATGGCATCGCTACGCAAGGACTCGGAAAATTGCAAACAGCTGATTTTAATCATCATTCCTTGATTGGCGACCATCGATAGGTCACAAGACATCAAGGGTGCAAAGGAAACCGGCAACACTCTTCCATTATGCTTCCGTCCATAAAAGAATAACAATTATACCTAAGTTAAGTTTTCAGGTATGCAAACGGAAACATACTTGTTCATTTAGTTATAGAATTAAACCTAATACATAAATAAACTTTTCAAGTAAGCTATTTTAACCGTAATGACTCATCAACTTTTTTTTTGCGGACGTGAGTTGGTTCAGAGTTTGTTGCACTTCTCTCGTCTTTAACTTCAAAAGTTAAGTTAAAAGTTAATTATTTATTAAATTCTGCATATCTTCATATCCTATAGACTCAAAAAAAATTAGTTATTATTATAGAGAGTATTTTTTGAGCGGTAGGCTTGTAATTTTTTTGTCTAAGCTCTTAAATAAAAATTTAAACGGCTCTTCGCTCTTCCCGATCATAAAAACTGAGACTCAAACCTTTTTACCACAAAGAAAAAAATATCAGACCTACAAAAAAAGGAAACAGCAGCGGGCTTTAACCTACTGTCAGCCCATATAAAGAAGCTGAAGTAATCTTAGTACTTAAATGCTAAATTATTGGTCTATTGGCTTACAAGCTTGCTCAGTGGCTTGGGAAATTTGACTTAGGTAACGCTAATTCAACAACTTTATTGTATTAGGTTTGTAAGGAAAATACTTAAAGAATCAACTGATCTTGAGCTTAAGAAACATGTTTACAATGCTTACTTAAAAATACAGGTCTTAGTTAATTCAGTTGGGCGTGCTTATGCTCAACTTAGGGTGCAGTGTACTTTCGACAAGCGAGCTTTTCTCTCGCCTTACAAAGCTTAATTAATTGCTCAGCTTGAGTCGAACACTGGTTGTTCGTAGAAATGAAACCCAGTAAAAGTCAAAAGTTCAATTTTGTCACTGCTTTTACTTTTATTTATTAATCAGGTCATCCCACCATGGCCTATTTAGACTCATATATGCGAATTACACTGCATTAATGTATAGATTCAAAGCTACCTGCCTTGGTTTGACTACATCTATATCCATAAGTTGAGTTAACCAGGAATGTCTCACCGTGGTGTCAGTCTTTCGACACTCTTCTTATTGCACCCCCTAAGCCCCAACAAAATCAAGGGTTGTCTAAAACGTAGTTTCTTTATGTTTCGGTAGCAGGATACCATGAAACCGTTTACATTAGCAAATTTCATTGGAAGGCAAATTTAGATCACGCAAATAATTACCTTATAGTCACCTAACTTTACTCAACCTAATGTCAAAAAATGCAAACTTAAACTGGGGAACAGACTTCAGACTTCATTTCTAAATTAAGTTAACACGACTCAGCTTAACCTAAGTTTCAATAACGCTGTCGTACTCATCATGTTGACCTTTTTACTACCTGCAGATTTTTTAAGAACAGTTCCGAATTTATATAACGTAGTTAGATTTATTAGTGGTTATCAACCAGGGCTCAGTTTATTAGGATTATTTTATACGATATCTTATTTAACACTAACGGATCAACTATTTAAAAATTTCCTTTAATATTGCTCAGAGTGGAATATACCAGGACACAGGATGTAACCTAAAATAGTTACACTTTGTACAAATCCTATCATTATGCCATTAAGTACATATAAAATTACACAAAAAAAGTAAGAAATATTCTCCTGCATAAAATGTTTGCAGTTACATTGAGTTTTACATAGGAGGCAACGATAATTACAAATTATAAATACAAAAATTATCGGGATGCAGTATAAAATGCACTTATACCATAGGTTTAATACCAATCTCTCCTGCATGTACTGTAAAAATACGTGGTGCTTAGATAATGCAACTTGCTAGTAGGCAAACCTTGAGTATATCCGCTGTATTGTTTTCATGAGCGATATACCAAAAAAATACGGGTCACTAATGACACCTTAGAGGAGCCAAAAGTTATCAATACAGAGAAATTTCCAAATTTCGCGATGTTCCAGATTGTGACACACTCTTAAGGTTAGTGTTGGTTGAAGGCAAATATCTTAATGAGGTAAGATAGGCTAATCTTTCTTTTATGAAGACGCATTTACCCTTGTGGCTTCTCTGGTAGCTTCCGCAATTGCCATCAATTCATTTTCCATCGTCGAGAGGGTGTATTATCCGCAGCACGAATTTCCAAGTAATCGGGATGGGGCCCCTGGGAGTTTTCCGTACAGGTCGCGTAGTCACTCTTGCTAAAACCTTTCCAGCTTGAGGGTACCGTAGCTATTGTAGCAGATTTCGTATACCCTTCGCACCAAAATCAAGCATCTTATTAACGTTTTTTAGCTTACGCTTATGGTGGTAGGCTTGAGTGCCTTTTGTGATAGTCTGTGCACTGCGAAAACTATAACTGGACGTGATACCATGAAGAGATAGAGTTATCACCACACTAGTTCTACATATGGCGTATTCTTTAGTAGGCGGTTGTCGCCGTTAAAAGTATAGGTTCCTATATAATTTAAAAGGCTTGTCATAATTCATTCTGGTGTGTATACGAATAGTAGTAATATACATTTCCAAATGTAACGTTTTAATCCATCGTTCTTCTCGACATTCATACTTGGTATCTTCGATGCCTTTTCTAGCTTTTTATAGTCACGATTTCATCAATGTATGTGGTTTCTTCCTTGTATAGAAAAACATGAGTCAATATGGCACTTGTGGACACCAGAGCAGATAAAGCCCTCGTATAAACGGTAGTCCATCTTATTCTGGACTACTTGAGATCAGGTATAGGTTTGAAAAGTTTAACGCAGTTCGAACCATTAGGCGCAGAGTGTACGCTTCAGGTTGTTCCATAAATAATTCTTCGGCTAGGGTCGACATATAAAGCCGTCATGAACAATAATTTAAAATACTTACATACTAAGCATAGCTGATAAGTGCAAAAATATCTTAACTTATTTGATCTCTGCAAATGGGCTAAAAACATTCAAAAAATCTTCTCCATCGATTTGCATGTATCTCTTAGTACAGATACGAACCCTGTATCGATCAATAGTGCCTTCTACATTAGTTTTGACCTTGAAAACCTATTTACAGCCGTCTCATTATCCTTCAACTGGTAGGATGGTAGAAACGCAAGTAAAAATTCTTTATGGGATAAAGTTTATGCTCATAGGTACGAAAAACTGAACTTTAACTATACTGTTTATAGCTTCCCAATAAATCTTGGGTTCCGGTACTTTCCAGGTATGCATGGGTAGGCCATGGTATAGGGCACTGTGTCTCGTGTTTCCCTAGTATTGTATGCTTTAGTCTCCTCGTGGTAGGACTTTTACCTCTACCTAATGTTCGTTTATATGAACTGACAACAAGGGCATTAGAATTGACTAGGGTTCAACAACAAAATTCGAGCCTTCATCCTCGTTTCCAGTCCAGAGGCAGAGTTCATAGACGGCTATATCTAAGGTACCTGATTTTGCACAATATTATACAATGCCTTGCAAATTTGAAATACGCAAAACATTTTTAAGACCCCATGACCTCCCCGCCCACTGGATTAGGCCCCATGTTCTTTAGGATTTTTTCTTGTATCGCTGACTGCCGTGTATCTTTGTACCGATGGCTTCGTAAAGAAGCTTCACCCCCTAGCTATTATTGTGCCCTGAGCCAGCTCTATCAATTGTGATATATTAAGGGGCGCCTGGTAGTTTTTCTCAGCTCTACCTTTTGTGGTAGTGTTTTGGAAAGGGTATAATGGGTAGTGAAAATTCTTTTATGTTTTCATCGATTAGTCCTTTAGGTAAATACCACATGGTATTCTAGTTACGAATTGGGCGCACCACTGAATCGGATGTACTTGTGTAGAATTTTGGAAGTATAACTCACGCATCGCTTCGGAAAATACCAGTTTACCCTCCCCTCAAGAAGGGCCAAGGCTTGGGACGGGCGAGTATAAACCCTCCGTAAGCAACCGGTTACCTGGCTTAATCGGTTCAACTAATGAAGTGATTTGCCAATACATTTTTTTTTAGCTCTTTTAGCTCTACATGAAGAATTCAGTAGAAAAGTTAGGTCTTTCCAAATTACAGTCTTTCTTTGCTATATCTAAATTACCTATGATGCTATCCTTCGACATGTCTTGAATGAGGAGGTTCCAGGCGTAACTAGGAAGATGCTATAGCTTTAAGAACATGTATTTTATATGTAGTTAGTATAACCCTTAACTCGCCAAGAGCAGCCCTTAACGAGAATGGGGGCAGAAATATTATTTCCCTTTATAAGGCCTAGGTCTTTACTGCAGAAATGTACTTTGTAATAATATGAAGTTAGTGTGTACAATTATCTCCATCTAGCGGTATGCTTTGAGCTCCAAGCCTATTATCTAGGACACACTTAAAAGGGTAGCTTGCTGTTTGCTAATCCTGAATTCTGTTTTATCTTTCTAACCATGCGGACTCAGTTATCTCGTAATTTTTAACCGCGCGTAATTTCTTACCAAGGCGATAAATAAATACTCTGTTGGTTTGATGCTTTATGAAAATAATTTAGTTTTGCTTTATCCAGAGCATACCGCAGGAGGGCACCCTAATTGTGATTATTACCTGTACGGTAACATCAATTTTTTTTAAAACAAGTTGATAAGTGGGTATAAATTTTATGTACTTAAATAATAATAAAAGAGTGCTAAAGCTTAACTCTGTTTCCAGCCTCCCCACCTTAATAACTTATTAGCATTATTAGGGCTGGTTACTAAAGTACTGTTTTAGTTAGATAAACATCTTGATATAGAACTCTTAGGCTTATAAACTCTAAATAGTAGAAGCGTATCTTTTATCCATGACCCGAACTAAGACTTCACTAGTGAAAGCACCTTAAATGGCTTACATAATGATGAATCAAGAGAAAATTATTCTTGGTCTGGGTAATGTTACTATTTTTCCAATAGGGAAACACACATTATTATGCTCTTTGGAAAAGATGTATAAGAGAACTTAAAATTCTCGAGGCTTATTTTTTTGAAGCATGTCCTCTGCCTTCAACTTTACTTATCTTGCCTTTGAGCGGGGCATTCCAGACCTCCCTTGCTGTGCTTTGAGTGCCTTGTGGTGCTCGCAACTTTCGTTTAGCGTTGTACACTCTTTTGTGTTTGTAAGAATTTCCTGTTCTGCCCCTAGGGGCACGGCGTACTA